GGATAAGGCATAATGCACAAACAGCAAATGTTTTGCATATACTATAGTTAAAAATATGTTGTTCGAACAAGAAGTAGATTGTTAAAAAGAGAAGCATATTATTGGGAATTAGGCTCTGGTACTACTGAAATGACAGTTACAAAAAATTGTGATTAAACTATGCATAAGCTTGGAACATTTTTGCTATGTCCATTCTTCAGTAGAAAGTTGATTTTACAAACTCTTCCATGGTGTGTTAAATCTGGGCAAAAGGCACACTAGGCAGCATTGAGTTGGGACAACATTATGAAGCAAACAAAATTTAAGGTTTCAAAACCTCTTATAACAGAGTGTTTTCTGATTTCCATTGGTCTGGGCCTCAGAGCTCTCAAGAGCTTCTGCTCTTAAATTGGGAAGGGGGGGGGCTCATATAGCTTTAGGTGTTATACTATGTATTGACCAGCAGGGGGCATTGCATGATTGATTTTGTCTTGATTGAAAAGTATGACAGCATGTAGAAAAATTTCCTATGACCACTTTTCCTGAAAGTTAGGAACTCTCAGGGCAAGATATCTATAAAATTGAATTCAGTGTATAATCAAGAAGTGCTAGCCTGTGGATTCAACTGCTGTTAAAAGGTTCAATACAGAACATCTAGTAGGAAGCATACTTATGCCGAAAGTGTATTCTAATAATGAAACTGATTCCATAGTGCCGTGATGGTGAACCTATGGCACGCATACTAGAGGTGGCACGCAGTGTCCTTTCTGATGACACAAGAGCAGTCACCCCAGTTCAGCTCCGCTGCGCATGTGTGCGCACCTCCCACCGGCCAGCTGATCTTTGGGTCTCTGCCGCACATGCGTGGGGGTGTGTGGAGCCGCACGCATGCAGGAGGGGGTGTGTGTATGTGTGGGGTGGGGGCAAATGCAGGGGGACACACGTGCATTTGTGAGGGGCACACATGCACGCATTGCATATTGGGGGTTCGAATGCACACATGTGCACTCTTTGGGTGCTTGGTCTGGAAAAGGTTAGCCATCATTTTCCTATTGGTCAGTAGTTAACATAGGTATTGTCTAAAAAGAGATAACCCAGATGAGATTAAGCCTAGTGTATCTTTTAAAAAATAAATAATTTTTAGAATACTTTGATATTTTGAGAAAAGCCAACCCCATGCAAAGATCATTGATTTGTATTAATAAGCGTGTGAATGGCCAATCACACATGATGTTTCACAGAATGAAGAAAAACAACTTGCATAGACTTCTTGAAGTCTATGATCTTAAAATGATTTAGCATATACAGAAAATCAACAATGTGAGATTCAGAATACATGGAATCTTTGGGGCCTAAGTTATTAGCTCAAACCTAGTAACAGAATTTCCATAGTTATGACATTCTCACTTTTCCACCCTACGAAAAATGGTCTTAAAGGTAGAATACATATATTAAATCACACAAGGACAAAAAAGGTCAAGGCATTTTTTCCAATATTGTGTTATGCAAAGTTCCCTTGGGCTAAAAATTATACTTAGAAAGTTAAATACCTTTGAAAAATTGCACAGCTATAAAACCGACAACAAAAATACTATTAAACTAACCTAATTTATTAATTTTACTCACTTTCTACCCCAAATTGCACTAAATGAAGCTTGACAAGTTAGCTATTTCGGGGGGTGGGGGTTGTGTGCAATTTTAATAGACCAACAGTGTATGCAGCAAAAATTTGTGTATCACATATATCGATTTCAGTGCCATGGCCATTTCAGGTAAATTGTTTGAACAATATGACTATGATGAATATCTGAAATAAAAAGCTAACGGGAAAAAAAGTGCTGACCTACAGTATCCAATTCCATTTCATAGCTAGAAAGTAGCATATGAATCAACCTCAGTCCATTCTTTTCAAAAGCACAAATCAATAGAGAAGATTTTTTTACTCTTTAATAAAAAAATCAGATATGTTTATTTGTTTTGCTGTTGTTGCTATTGTTACATGGAATAAACGTTTTAAACTAATAAACAATTGCCTAGGAATTTATTTTATATGCACCTAACCTAGTATCTACTAAAGAATTTTGCATAGTCCCAACAAAATGAAAGTTATTTTGAAGAGACAGTGCCAATATTATGGACTTCTGGTTTATTAAATGATGTAATGGAAAAGGCTACGTTAACCTTTCTTGTCATTTTTCTGAATGTTCTATATATGTTTTTTCATTTATACATGGTTTCTACAATCCATTGATCTTTCTAATTCCTTATCCTTTCTTGCTCCTGATTAAATCATTTGTTCATTCTTTCTGAACACCCAAATATGTAGAGGTCAGACTTTAGCAATCACAGAGAGACTTTAATAAGAATAGCATTTCATTTATGTCAAGGTTTTTTTTTCTCCTGGACTCTCTAAAGCAGGTTCTGACCAGTTCTGGAGAACAGGTAGTGGAAATTTTGACTAGTTTGGAGAACCGGTAAATACCACCTCTGACTGGCCCTACCCCCATCTATTCTCTGCCTCCTGAGTCCCAGCTGATTGGGAGCAAATGGAGATTTTACAGTATCCTTCCCCTGCCATGCCTACCAAACCATGCCCACCAAGCCATATCACACCCACCACGCCACACCCACAGAACTGGTAGTAAAAATTTTTGAATCCCACCACTGCTCTAAAGGAATTGCACTACCTGCAAAGATTATATACCTGTTACAGTTTACAGTATTTATTTTCTTGATGAAAGAACTTGGAGATGAAAAGTTGTTTGAGATTAAAAATAGGATGAAATAGGCTTGTAAAGGAAAGCTAAAAGATAATCATAAATGTGATGATTATATACTGCACTTTTCCTATGAGGACAAGTTTATTTCCCCAAATAATTTTGGGAGGCATCTATCTTACATTCATTGAAAAGAATAATATGAAAAAAGAAGAACAGATGGGAGTGCCTTTGAAGGTTAGCTAGTTCTGGGAAAGGAAATTTATCCTTAACCCTTTTTGAAATTCCTACATAAAGCTTCACTTTTTTAATTAGCTGTTCCCTCCCTCATCTCTATTCATTTTTGTTCTCCCCTTTTACTTCCCTGTCCCTAGACAGCTTTCTTTCTTTATATCTTATATCCATCTTCCCTTTTATTTTTTCTTCTGGAAATAGGAAGAAAGGTTTGTGTTGCACCTTTATAGGATATAAAGCATAAGAATTCTTATAACATAAGAATTGTGTGTGTGTGTGTGTGTGTAACAGAGATATTGGGTGGTATATTTAGACAAGAATCAATTCATTTTCCCTATTTTACTGGAAATTAGTTTTAATTAATAGTTATGAACATTGATCATACATACTCTTTGTGTCCAGACCAGGGATGGGTTCTAAATTTTTTTACTACCGGTTCTGTGGGCGTGGCTTATTTTGTGGGTGTGGCTTGGGGGGTAATGTGACTGGGTGAGCGTGGCCAGCTTTTTTTTTTTTTTACTTTTACTTTTAAAAGCATTATTTCTACAACCTTAAGAGGTTGCAGGAAAAAATGCTTTTAGAAGCCTCTGATGATCAGGCAAGTCATCTGGGATTGCCAGAGGCTTTCAAAGGAATTTTTTTTTCCTACAACCTCCTCGGCTGAAGAGGTTGCAGAAAAAATGTTTTCAGAAGCCTCTGAAGATCCCAGCTGAGCCACACGATCATCAGAGGCTTTTTTTTTTAATTTTAAAAGCATTTTTTCAGCCGAAGAATCTTTATTTTTGAAAACAGTTTTAGGTTGTTTTCAAACATTTTCAGTTTTAGCCCAGTGCTGAAGTCTATCAAGATCCTTCTGAAGTGTTAGATATTCTGGTCAACTCGGTGTCTGCAAATTTGATGAGTCCCCTTTCTATCCACTCATCTAAGTCATTTATGAATATGTTGAAGAGTACTGGACCTAAGTAAGAACCTTGTAGTAACCCACTGCATGGTTTCCTCCAAGTTCCATTTTGAGCTACCCATTATGTGCTATTGGTCAGCCAGTTGCAAATCCGTCTGGTGGTGATATTGTCTATTCTACATTGTCCTATCTGACCAAGAAGTAGACCATGGTCTGATTTGTGAAATGCCTTACTGAAGTCTAAGTAAGCTATGTTCACAGCATTTCCCTTATCCACTAATTTAGTCACTTTGTCAAAGTGACTAAATAAAGTTTGTCTGCCATGATCTGTATTTGACAAACTGATGCTGGCTTCAATAACTGTCTTCTTCTTGAGGGATTTCCATTTTAAGCATTACAGGGGACAAAAATTAATTGTAAGCAAAATCACACAAAATATCCCATTCCTGGCCATATTTGGTCATTTCAATTTACTTAAAACTTTTCACTCTCCTGTTCCTGGCACCCCCCTACTCCTTTTGCAGAAAATTTTAGCTACTTAAATGTTCAATACAAAGTGCTTTTTAGAATTCATTAAATTGTCTTCCTTTCTGTATACCATTTACTTTCCTTTAATTCAATGTGATTGCGTGTAACAAGAATAATTTACTCTACATGGGGCCTCTAAGTGACATGGATACCTGTAGTCTTTCAAATATGGCTCCTCTTTTTCTGAATTAATTATGACTGAAGTGTTTGCTTTTATAGGTTTCCAATTATGCCATTTTGTATACCATCTTTTTTATTTGTTTTGTTCTGCATTTTGCACTTTAAAAATGCTCAGTCAATAAAATCCATACCCCCCGAAAGAAAAGAAAAGATAGATCCAGACCCCACAACAAAAGAATCACTCAGGTTTACCTGTGGTGTGTTATTTTGCAATGGCTCAAATTATTAGGCTCCTTAAGTACATAGAAAGAAAGAAGCATATAAATACAAATCACACCAACCGGTAACACAGACGATGCTAAATTCCTGAGCTTCTGCTCCAGGACTATTATAGCGGTTGTGTATCAAAGCATTATGGAATTTTTCCTTTTGTCCTCTCACCCACTCAATACAAGGTGAACAAATGTAGTTTGTATAGTAGCATTTACCTTCCTCACAGTTTTCGCCTTTGTATCCTACAGAGCAAACACAGTTCCCTTCAATGCAAGAACCATGGCCTCCACATGACGGATCAATACACTGGCTGATGGGTATGTCACACTCTGGCCCTTTCCAGCCACTGTAGCACAAACAGGCTCCTTTGGTGTATTGTCCATTGCCACTGCACAGAACTGGACACGCAGCTGGATAATTGAATAGAAAAAAGGAAACAAAACAGCATGTCAATATCCAACTTGTGTAAGGGTATGCTGACTTTACTAGCAAGAAACAGACTTTAAAAGGTGTTTGAATAAAAAAAAAAAAAGCAATACATACTGTTCTGAATTACCATTTGAGATAATTTAGGTGTTAGATTTCTAGAGATGCAAAATATTTTTGCTGAAATATCTTCATCTTGATAAAAAGAAAATATCCACTGTTGGATTTGAATCAAACTTTTATAGTGCCAGAATTATTTCAATAAATACAACAATTTTCACAGTTGCCATAATTGATCATTTGAAATCAATTACATTAACAAATCACTCTATAAAACAATATCCGATTGGGCCTATTGAAAATCACAGCATTATCCTTGCAGACAATTTTTTCTAAGTAGTTTTGATGTTACAACAATAATTATAAATATTATTTTAAATATTAACAATATCAACGTGAACAGTTCCTAAAGATCGAGTAAATTCTAAGGCAAAATAATGTTAGAACATGCTATAGTACAGTGATTCACACCTTGACAAATTAGAATAAAACACACAAAGCTTCATTTACAGACTTTCTTGTCACAATCTTAAATATTACTCAGAGAATGTAATGTAGCTTCCATGATTTAAAAACAAACACAAGTCAAGTTCTTAAAAACCCATCTTTGCCCAGGTATATGGGTCTTTATGGATTATGGCTCTTGAAATGATGATTTTTTTTAAAAAAAAGTGGAACTAGCTGGAATGTTATACAGTTCACAATTATTAAACCATACAGCCCATTTTCCATTTCTATTCAAATATGGTTGAGCCTGCTTATATATTATTAATTATTTTGTGTTTTCTAATCAGTGTTAATTCCTGGTGAATGCCTGGACAAATCCCTGCATTTTTCAGGAAAGATTTCAGAAGTGGTTTGCCCTTGCCTACTTCCTAGGGCTAAGAGAGTGTAACTGGCCCAAAGTAATGTAGTTTATTTTGTGCCTAAGGCAAGACTAGAACTCACAGATTCTGGTGCCAAAATGTGCCTACAATATAATGATCATAAAATATATCCTTGGTTAATCTCAAAAAAATAAACTAGCTAGTATTTGGGTGGGAGACCACTAAAAAAATCTCAGATCTAGATTATTTAAGAAGAAAGCTTATAATTTGAAGACATAATAATACCAAGTTATTCCATGTGATATATTTCTATGATTGCCTATATACCATTCCATGTATGGAATGAAAAAAATGACTGGACAGAATGGAAAGCATTAATAGATTTAGCTGGTTTATGCTTATTTATTTTTTATTTTATGCAATTTATATGCTGCCCTATTTCCGAGGACTCAGGGCGGCTCACAACGGTAAAATGCATAGTTCTTTATTAAACGATATAAAATTACAATCCAATTTAAAACAGTTTAAAATTCATTAAAAACCCCCCATCACTCCAGGCTACGGAACAACCAGGTCTTCGACTCGCGGTGGAATGAGCGAAGGTCAGGGGCCATCCGGAGCTCCAAAGGAAGTTGATTCCAGAGGGTGGGTGCACCCACAGAGAAAGCTCTCCCCCTGGGGGTCGCCAGCCGACATTGTCTGGCCGATGGCACCCTGAGGAAGCCCTGTCTGTGGGAACGCACAGGGCGATTGGGGATTGTCGTTGGCTGCAGGGGGTCTGACAGGGCCTAGGCCATGAAGGGCTTTATAGGTGATAACCAGCACCTTGAACCTCACCCGAAGGGCAACCGGTAACCAATGCAAACCGCGCAGGAGGGGTGTAACATGGGAGTGTCGGGACACTTCCATCACAACCCATGCGGCCGCATTCTGCACCAGATGAAGCATTCGAGTGGTTTTCAAGGGCAGCCCTAGGTAGAGAGTGTTGCAGTAGTCAAGACGGGAGGTGACCAGCGCATGAGTACGGTGCGTAGGGCATCTTGGTCCAAGTAAGGGTGCAACTGTCGCACAAGACAAACCTGGGCAAATGCCCTCCTGGTCACGGTCGTCACATGGTCTTCCAGAGACAATCGTGAATCCAGGAGGACACCCAAGTTGCGGGTCCTATCCACAGGGGGTAACACCTCATCCCCGATGGTCAACGATGGAATATCTCAATTGGAACAAGATGCTGGTACCCACAGCCACTCGTCTTGGCAGGGTTGAGTTGAAGCCTGTTCCTCCCCATCCAGGTCCGTACCACTTCCAGGCACTGGGACATCACGTTGAGGGCATCACTGGGCTGGTTTGGGGTGGATATAAAAAGCTGGGTATCATCAGCATATTGATGATACTGCACCCCAAAACCATGGATGATCTTCCCAAGCGGCTTCATATAGATGTTGAACAGGAGAGACAAGAGGACCGACCCCTGGGGCACCCCACAGTTGAGGGGCCTCATAGCCGACGTTTGCCCCCCTGCCAACACCGCTTGCGTACGGCCCGAGAGATAGGAGAACCACCATAAAACGGTGCCTCCCACTCCCAACCCCTCAAGCTGTCGCAGCAAGATACCATGGTCGATGGTATCTTATATCACAATAACACAAACTTCCAATATAGTACTTTTCCTGGTACTTACCATTCAGACACAAGTCATCTTTTTTTTTAAAAAAAAATAGACAACCAATTATATTATGTTATTAGTTTTTTTTTTAAAAAAAACCTCCACTGATTAAAAAAATGATGACATCAGAACACAACACCACTATTATATTTTCTGTTAGGAATCTATTTGGTTAGCAGTTGCTGTACTGTAAGAACAGGCAACTATTCCTGTCCAACTAGGCAAAAGTCAAGCAGGATAAATAAATGTCTATAAATTGCTACTTTTGCTCACAAAAGTCTAAATGTGTGTATGGGATGGGAAGATGGGCTCTACTTATTACTGGGATGCAAATTGTAACACTCCTATCTGGGAACTAAAAGACTATGAAGGAAGAAGTTCATTATTCTACAGACCACTGAGAAGGACAGTATGGACTGACATGCAATAAATCTATTGTCGGTATTCTTCAAGCTGACCCACTGAGAATCCCTCCTCAAGAGGATAATTAATTCTGCATCTGCAATAATTCAGGTTAGACCATTCCTTGAGAATCCCTCCTCAAGGGGGTAATTAATTCTCCTTCTCCAATAAGTCAGACTAGATCATTCCTTTAATAGGAATTAAACTGCTGGTGGTATGATATTGGATGATATTATTATTATTATTATTATTATTATTATTATTATTATTATTATTATTATTATTATTTATTTATTTATTTATTTATTTATTTATTTATTTATTAAATTTATATCCCGCCCTTCTCCCCGAAGGGACTCAGGGCGGTGAACAGCTGAGAATTAAAATAACATACAATATAAAAGTTAAAATAATTAAAAATAAATTAAATTAAACGGCCACACCAATTTAAAACCCCTAGCAATACAATTAAAAAAAAAACCCTAAAACCTATTCAGGCCAGGCCGGCTTGCTGAAATGTTTTCTCTAAGGATATGTTTTCTCTAAGGCCAGAAATATCAGATAGTGTTTCCTAATCTCTATTTTTCCTACTTTGAAATCACATTTTCTTAAGATTTGGACATTTAATCACAGTATGTAGCATAACAGAGCTTAAAGTACAGTTTCTTTGCTTAGGCCTTACAAAGACAAATTCCTTGAAAGATGATGATCTTTTAGCTCTTCAAGTTCTTTTGAAGAGACTGTCTGTCTAACTTGCTCTTTATTCTTACAGATGCCAGGATATGTGCAATGCGTGAATAATCAGCCAAGTAAAGCCAAATAGTATGACAAATAATAAGGCAATAAACAACAGTGTCGTAATTGCCGCTAGAGAGCAACATAGCTTATAGACTTACTTTAATTAAAGTATTTAGGCAAATAGAGAAAGTTTACCTGGTGTCAGAATTATTGCAAAACTAATGCCAGCTTTACTTGCAAAAAGACAATAATCCAGCACTGAGATTTTTTGTTTGTTTGTTAGAAGAGGTCCTTTTCCTTATAAATTATTTTCCATAAGAAGGGGTGTTTTGTTTTGTTTTTTATTCCGATTCGAATCAGTCTTGACTCCAGGCAGCTACCTGGGCAAGTTCCTGCCTTTTTCTTGGAAAGATTTCAGAAATGATTTGCCATTGCCTGCTTCCTAAGGCTGACAGAGAGTGATTGGCTCAAGGCCACCTAAGCAAGACTAGAACTCTCACTCCCAGTTTCTAGCCTGATGTCTTAACCAACCACACCAAATTGGCTATCGATAAGGGTATGTGGAATTAAACGTCCATGAACTTCTTAAAGTAAAATACAGACCTATTTCAAATAATTGGCTACTAAGATTGTTGAGGTTTTAGATCATCTTAAAGAACAGTCATACAGAAAACCCATCCTGACAATCCAGCTGGGACATAAGTATAGTTTCCCAAACCAAGCTTCTCCACCTGATCCTGAAATGGCTGTAGTTGGACCTCATGTGACAAAGATATAGACAGAAAACACAAGAACCAGAAAATCAAAACACACAATGAAACCATTTAGGTCATTGAATATAATACTATTTCTCAGTGTAAAGTTCAGTATAAAGCATCCAGAGAATGACTGTCTAGCCGCCATCTGAATACATCTAATGGAGGGGAACCCATCATGTCTTTAGGTAATTGGTGCATTGTAGAACTTCTCTAATTATTCAGAAGTTTTGAATAATAAGTTTGTCTTATTATTTATTGAGGCATTATACAAATTCTTAAATAAATATTTAACATTGAACTATGAGTTCTCTTATCTCTTGTAATAATACTTCTTTCCTTTTGCTATCCATCAATATGTTCTGCAGAATGATGTACTGTATATTATCTTACATCCCTGATTTTGGGAACAAAGATTCAAAGTTTTCATCATTCTAACGAGAGTTGGGCTAGAAA